TGATATTTCTCCCGGAAGTGTCTGAAAATGCGCCTAATGTGTTTCTTAAATTATTGCAAATGCTTCCTACTCATGAGGGAGTTATGACCCCCTCCCGGACCCACCCCGCTCCCTTGCCGCTGACGCCTTGCTCTGTCGCTTCGCACCATAATTTTTCATATTTTGCACCCCATGCGATTTTGTGCCCCCCCCCCCCCCACTAAGAAATTCCTGGATCCGCCACTGATGTGGTTAGAGTGTGTTGAGAAAAAAATAGAGCGCTATACCATACTCACCCGTCAAACCAGAACAAAAAATAGTCCTCACTATACCCCCCGCCCCCCTGCATGGTTCCCCCCCCCCCCCCCCCCCCCATTCCCCAAATCTCCGGTTTATCTCCGACAAAACGGTCCGGGCCCGCCATTGACTTTCACACCGGAGATAATGGGGGTGCTTTCAAAAAGAGGGAACATGCATACGCGTACCCTAAATAACACTGTGTGTGTGGGGGGGGGGGGTGGAGGGGGAATCGAGATTGTAGAATGCTCTTCCCAAATCTTTCGCTATTGTCACCAGTTATATCCACTTTTAGAACTCAACTAGATTCAAGATTCAAGATTTATTTATTCCTTGACAAGAAAAACAATACATCCATGAACAGTAACAAGAAGGTTATAAAGACATAATTTGAAAGAACTACATAGGCCTACATACCTGTTTCAGATTGCTTACAATGATTAGTCACTGTTTTTGGCCTTTTCCAGTTAAATCATGAACATACATTTTCGGTAGTTTTTCATTTTCATTAGCGCCTTTGATTAGGCAACTAGATTAAAAAAAAAAAATAATAATCCTGGATTGGATTGGATATATAGTCCTAGACCTATAATATATGCTTGGCATATGTAAATGTATTTTCACTTTTACGATTGTTGATCGTTGATATTTAGGCTCATCGCCCCCGTCATTTGCCTGTGTGACACTTTTTTTTTTAGTTTCTTTTATTGATTCCAAACAATACAAATCAATCTTAGAAAAAAAATGTAGTTATTTTTTCTTGATTTGAATTCAAAACATTTTCATAACAAAGATTGTACGATTGATGAAAACAAAAATGAAATCAGTTGTAACATAAAACATATATATGGGGTTACCCTGGGTAAATAAAACAAAATAAATAAATAAATAAATAAATAAAAATAAACATAACCCCATCCAACCAAACACACTACTACCCCCCCCCCATCCACCCTTCCCCACCATGCGACACACAAACACCATGCGACCACACTTCCACACACAGTGGCGGATCCAGGGGGGGGGCCGAAACGGCCGCGCCCCCCCCCCTATTGGCGGCGCAAAAAAAAGGAAGAAAAAAAGAGGAAGAAAAGAAGAGAAAAAAAAAGGAGAAGAGGAGAAGAAAAAAAGGAAAAGAGAAAAGAAAGGAGAAGGGAAAAGAAAAAGGAAGAGAAGAGAAAAGAGAAAAGAAAAGATAAAGAAGAAAGCCCAACTCCCCCCCCCCCCCCTCCCCTCCCTCCCACTCCGGGGTCGGAGGGACCGAATATGTGTTCCCAAAATTTCCGATAAAGAGTTACTTTTCACGCAACAAAGTCCGGCCCGTAATACACAAAAATCCGGCCCGTACTGACTTACACCGGAAATAGAGGGGTGCTTTCAAAGAGAGGGAACATACATGTGCGTACCCGATAGTAAGTGGGTGGGGGGGGGGGGGGATTCGTTGAGAAAGGGGGAAAGACAAGGAAATGGCGCTAAGTGACAGTAACGACGAATAAGGGAGAACTGTAATCGGGAGATTCCAGAAGGTTTGGCAAACGTTATTGAATAGAGGGGGCCGGACCGGCCGCATAAAATCTCGAGCCGCGGATTCAAAGTTAAACGTAAAAAGCAGCCCCCTGCGCTACAAAGGTCATCACTCTTTAGTGAGAAATTTGAAAAGGGCACAATATTTTGGATGTCTTTTAAATAGAAGCTATATACTCAACAGTCAAATTTTAAATTAACGGTTGAGCCGCTTCATTACTCTTATTTTGCCCTTCATTTGGATTCAGCTCATACCAACTCGCTCGTGTTTGTATTTGAACTCATGTTGGTAGTAATCATGGACAGGGGCGGCAATCCTGGGCCCGATAGGGAGACACGTCCCCCAGGAAATTTAGAAATATAGCTAGAAAGAAATATAGCGGAATTTTTCTAGAATGCATAATTTCAACATTGCATAATCTTGCTTGGTTGCTACGCCCCGGCCCTCGCCCGATAACACAAAACTATGATATGACGCTCCCGGCCGTGATTTATCCATGGTTAGTGTAATAGATCTTTTCTCCCTTTCATTTCTACTAACCTAATTGTGTGCTATCACAATCATGATTGTTTCATTTTCCCTTTGAAGCAGGTGCGTAGCCAGGGGCGGTAGGGGCCGGAAGAGGACATAGGACGAAAAAAGGAGCAGACAAAGAAAAAATAATTCTGACAAGTCGAGTACGGTACAACGAATCGTCTTCTTTCTCTAATAATTTAATGTAATGTCAAAGCTTCCGCGCTTCGCTCGGGAGGGGGGCAACTGAAATCAGACAAGGAATGGTAAAACGAATCGTCTTCTTTGTCTAATAATTTAATGAAACGTCAGAAGTTTACGCGCTACGCGCGGGCGGGGAAAAACTGAATTCAGCCAAGGATTTAGAGTCGAGAATGGAACGCAAATCATCTTCTTTCTCTAATAATTCAATGAAACGTCAAAGCTTCCGCGCTTCGCGCGGGAGGGGGGAAAATGAATTCAAACAAGAATTAAGAGAAGAGAATGGTACAACGATTAGTCTTCTTCCTCTAATAATGTAATGAACCGTCAAAGCTTACGCGCTACGCGCGGCCGGGGAAAAACTGAATTCAGACAAGGATTAAGAGTCGAGAATGGTACAAAGAATCGTCTCCTTTCCCCTTATAATTTAATGAAACGACAAAGCTTCCGCGCTTCGCGCGGGAGGGGGGGGGAACTCAATTCAGACAAGGATTTAGAGTTACGAATCGTCTTCTTTCTCTAATAATTTAATGAAACGTCAAAGCTTCCGCGCTTCGCGCGGGAGGGGGGGGGGGCACTCAATTCAGACAAGGATAAAAAGTCGAGGACGGTACAAAGAATCGTCTTCTTTCTCTAATAATTTAATGAAACGTCAAAGCTTCCGCGGTTCGCGCGGAAGGGGGGGAACTCAATTCAGAGAAGGATTAAGAGTCGAAAATGGAACAACGAATCATCTTTCTCTAATAATTTCATTAAACTATGTAAGGCCAAAGTTTCCGTGCTTCGCGCGGGAGGCGGGGGGCGGGTTGAATTCAGTCAAGTAATAAGAGTCGAGAATGGTACAACAAATCTTCTTCTTTCTCTAATAATTAATGAAACGACAAAGCTTCCGCGCGAAGCGCGGGAGGGGGAAAACTGAATTCAAACAAGAATTAAGAGACGGGAATGGTACAACGATTCGTCTTCTTCCTCTAATAATTTAATAAACCGTCAAAGCTTACGCGCTACGCGCGGGCGGGGGAAAACTGAATTCAGACAAGGATAAAGAGTCGAGAATAGTACAAAGAATCGTCTCCTTTCCCTTATAATTTAATGAAACGCCAGAGCTTCCGCGCTTCGCGCGGGAGGGGGGGGGGGGGGGGGGGAGGGGGGAAAACTTAATTCAGAGAAGGATTAAGGGTCGAAAATGGAACAACGAATCATCGTTCTCTAATAACTTCATTAAACTATGAAAAGCCTAAGTTTCCTTGCATCGCGCGGGAAGGGGGGGGGGGGGGGCTGAATTCAGTCAAGTGATAAGAGTCGAGAATGGTACAACAAATCTTCTTCTTTCTCTAATAATTAGGCTAATGAAAGGCCAAAGCTTTGAAAAGCCAAAGCTTCCGCGCTTCGCGCGGGCGGGAGGAAACTGAATTCAGACAAGGATTAAGAGTCGAGAATGGTACAACAAATCGTCTTCCTTCTCTAGTAACAATTAATGAAGGGTCAAAGCTTCCGCGCTTCGCGCGTAATGGAGGGGGGGGGGGGGTGGGGGACAGCGAGCTGCCCGAATATGAGTTTTTGATATCTTTTCTCGTTTATTTTGGTGATAAATAACACTTTAACAAATTATTGTTGCTTGCTCGCTTCGCTCACTATTTCGAATTGTGAAACCAGAAAATTACTTTCCGGGCAAGAGGCTATAGCCCCCCCCCCCCCACCCGATGAAAATGTCAAAAATTCTACAGGTATCGCGCTTCTAATATGACCTTGTCAGTATTGGTATGTTGAGTTGAAAAAATGGTCAGCGCAATTTTCAAATTTCCGCCCCCCCCCCTATTGGAAAATCCTGGATCCGCGCCTGCACACATATACACACACTGTTCCTAGCCCCCTCAGAATACCCCAAATTGGAGCGACAGACAAACAGAAAACACCACAGAAACACCCTCCCCCTCTTCGCTTCCCCCCTCCCACTTGCACCCCCTCCGGAGGAAAATGCAAGAGGGGGGAATTCCCGCCATGAAGTCGGTTTCTATCCGGCATAATTGTCAAATACCGTTTCTTATTTCCAATCCATTCATTTTTTGTACTTAGAATGAGACATTTAATGTATTTTCTATAAATATAGCTTGAATTCGTTTTTTAGTTCAGTATTATTGGCAAGAAAATCATGATTTTAAGTGTTCCATCACACAAATACACAATTTGCAGTATATGGGACTAAATGTTTAAAAACAGTTTTGGAACGAGCCTGTCAATAACGTCACCACACCCATGGCGATTTACCCAAAACCTGTAGAAGTATTCATGTTCTTTTATTCATTTAATGAATTAACATTTATTAGTACGATTAGTTTAAAGCTATTGGTACAAAAATATATTTGTAGTTGTAATACGTATTGTAACATCTAGTTTAAGACACATAATATTGAATATAATCTTGCTAAACAAGAACTTGATTTTTAATCGCTCAAAGGTAATGCATTGTAATGCGGTTTCACTTGACCGCGTACTGCACTATTACAGCGATCAATCTACCACTTCCCGTGGAATCTATGGAAGTGTAAAATACATCTTTTCACCAACGGCGCTTGTCTATCACCGTCAAAATGTTGCGTTTAACGCCATTTTAGGTAAATTACTGTTATATTTTGTTAGTATAGAGTGTTAAATATGTGCTAGTGATTGAATTATGGACTTTTTACTCCCGGAAGTCTGATATGCCGTGCATGTTTCATGTGTTGTAGAGTCTGCACAACCGGTGACTTATGCGCGCCACACAAATCATTGAACCGAACGAACAAGCCGATTGACAGTGTGTAGCGCGGCGAGGCCGGGGATAGATAGATCTAGATAATGACTGAAAACGTACGAAGAAACGTGGGGTCAAAACAGAAGCTAACTTATTAAGTTATGATCTAAGCATGCGTGTTTGTGTGCAGCTCTAGACTACAAATACTAATGCATGTATCTACTGAGCAGAGTGGAAGAAAACCCTTTTGTTTTAATTTAATTTTGTTTTACCTAACTTTAGAGTTTAACTCGAGTCTCGACTGTCTTGACCAAGTCAGAACTTGGGTTGGGAGTAGTATTTGTCATTAGGGGCGCTGGTCCGAGAATAAAGATCGTTTGCATACATGTAAAGGCGCTGGCGGCTGGTCCGAGAATAAAGATCATCCGCGCAAACAAAGTAGGATCGTCTTTGTAAATGCGGACAGGTGCGTCCAAAAAAACAAGGATCATCCGCATTTTGGCAGATGTTTATATTTCCGCTCCATGCGTTGGCTATGCAATAAAACAGATTCCGCGCTGATTTTCTGGATGCATTTTACATTGACTTTGTACAGAGACTTAAACGTTATGAGCTGGATCTATAAATCCTTGTGAAGACTGACAACCCACAAAAGTAGATGATGAACTGGGGTTATTTTCTTCTGGGAATCCGTTTTTCGCATCTCCAAGACAAGTACCATTTGAAAGAGCATGAAAAATACATCTAAGATAATACCAAGATCATCATGCATCACCCTCCAAGTACGGCAACATATAGCGAAATAACGATAGTCTAATGTTTGAAAAAACACCCATTTTTGGTCCCCCTTAAAGGTTTACACCAGTTTTGGAAACGCCCCCCTCTCAAATAATTAAATGGAAGCTCATAATAGTCCCATAATAGCTAGTTCTTCTATAGCGCTTTTCCGGACTGAAGGCCCTATCAATTGGTCATTGGATTCAGGCTTACCCGCACACAATGTATGCACATTCTCCACTCCCTTGGTAGGCACATTCATGGGGCACTAGAGGGCGCTTCGGTCGCGTACGAAAATCTGAATGGCCTTGCTGCGGTGGGTCGGCAATAATCAGCCCAAAACTTGGATATGGGAGGTTGGAAGGATATATCTTTTTTATAATGTTATCCGGTCTTACCCTTAACCATCCTATGTTTAATCTATGTAGAAATAACATGCGAGTATGATAAAAGAAACATCGGGACCATTACTGAAGTAACTTTTAAAATATTAGCCTAGAAATGACCACCAAACGGAAAAAATTGACATTTTTTCCCGACAAATCTTCATAAAATCTGAGTTATAAACAAGTCACATCTAGGTACACTAATACAAATACGATTTTCTGAAAATTCAGGTATGATTTTTTAAGTTTCTTTCAAGTATATTTCTGCGCATTGCAGCGCCAATATTCTTCACTGCTTCAAAATCACCCTTGAATTTTTTTTTTGTAACGAATTTGATACGAGGTCCGCGAGTGTTCCCCGTTCTTTGCGTGTTGAAAGTTGGTAATACATAGTTTGCATTGACTCGTGCACGAAAAAATGGTCGAAAAACAAAATGTCAAATGAAGAAATAAACAAGCTTTTGTACAGTTATAAGAGTTCTACCGAGGTTTCTTTGTCGATTTAATTTATTATATAGTCTCAATTAGAATTCAGAATTATCTCACTGAAAAGTTAAGAAACCGACTATGTTCTCGATCGTAGTTATTTTCATTTTGCCAGCAGCCGATCTAGCGTTGTTTGGGCAAAAAGCTAGGCCGCTGCCTTCCCACCACGAACCTTTCCGAGTCCCGCTAAAATGGCGCGCTGCGGAGCTCCGAAGCTGCGTTGGTATCGCTGCAAACTCTCAGCCGGCTAGCTCCCCACGACGGACCATTCGCGGTATGGCGAGAGTGTGTGTGTGAGGTATGATTTTGGATTCGAGAACGCACGTAACGCAACCGTGCGCGTCATTTTCAGCTGTCGAATGTGTACGACCAACGATTTTTAGTACAGATACTTGGTCAGTTTTCTTCTTAAATCTTTGGTTTTACAACATTTAAAAATATAATTTCTTCAAATCTGCTCCTGACTCGGTTCAGACTAATTGTCTGATGTGTTTTCAAGTCAATTTTTTGAATATATTTTTTTGCATGAATTTGCCTACCCTTGGGAGCATTCCAGCCAGGCATCATTTTTACAAGCGCACACTTGCTAATCTAAGCACATTGGGTGGTATTCTCTTAAGTTAAGCCGGGACTAAGTCCAGACTAAACAAGAATTTTAGTTCGCACTTCTATGGAATGCTAGGTTTCATCTTCCTCCTTCAATATTCATGACAAAGATAATCTACCAAGGACTTTGTTGAAATTTAGTGTATACTCATATTATCTTTTTCTTCCTATTTCAGTGCAAAATTAATTTTTTGGACACTTTTCATTGAAGGATTAAAATAATCTGTTCAGGGTAAATTAGTTCACAACAGGCACTCCATAAAAGTGTGAACTAACTAAGCACGCGCTAACTTAGTACGCGCTACCGGAATACCACCCATTAGCTTTCGCATCCTACCGGTACCCATTTAACCCCTGGGTGGAGAGTAGCAAATGTAGATCAGTGTCTTGACAAAGGACATTAGTGCCGCGATATACTTCTTTTTGTGTACAGTACCGTACTTGTAACTTTACCATCGACTCCCGATTGTCCCACGCAAAGGACGCGGCAAAGGTCGCGGCAAAGGACGCGGTCAAAGGTGGTCTTGAGGGTTCCCTTTCTCTTTTTTACTATCCTAAAAGTGCAACGGTTATTGTTTGTTGCTACTCTCAGCTGGCCCCTCATGAAGAACCACACAAGTCAATGGAAAGTTGTGTGACAACTTGTGACTTTTTTAAACCCCCATTGGCAAGCAGCAAGGTTCACAGCTGACGGCTTCGATACACACAAGAAGCAAAAGTTAATGATAAACATTGAACAGTGTTTAAGACCCTTAAAATAAACGTCTAGTGAAGGAGACGGATGAACAGATCATTTAGCCTCCATGAATTTTTAAAAGAAAAAAAAGTTTTTACCCATGTACACTGTATTTATGTACATATTTTGTTCAAAGACACTACATTTTATTAGAGCAACATATTATTAAAATAAAAATATTGTTATTGCCAATTTAAAGCTTATCTGCCGTAGTTTACAGGAGGGATTAGACTGCCCTGCAAGGTCACTGGACAGGTGGGTATCTCATCAACTCAGCTCTCAGTTAACATAAGAAAAAGAGGATCATGGGGGACCAATGGTCACCGATTAGGCATTGTTTGTTATATAGAGGGCGTAAGTAGCTACAAGTAGTGCAGTGGGCCTTTAAAGAACAAAATGTAATTAATTTAGCTCTTGTAAATCATTGTACTGAAATAGATAACTGGATTCAATTTTTCTTCGTACAAAACATGTTGCTATACTGAACATGTACAGTGTTTATAAATGCTCCTTTTGAGGACTCTTCACATAGATTGTAAACAGTTCCTTACGTAAAGTTATTTATTCATGGCATTATATAAATTGTGGTGGGCAGCCAATGGCTGAATCGTTCACATTTTACAAGCAAATAAAAAACATTAATTTATAAATACATTACAAATGGTCAAATTATATGTTTCAATGCAACCATGTATGGACAAAAATCTGTTCCGTCATAAATCAATAACAAAGAAAATAAAGGTTCATGACTACTCCTTTGAATAATACAAAATAAATAAAAACTAATAGGACATGTGCTCATGTGTAAGCTTAAATTTTCTCCCGCCATAACATGCGTCATGTGAATACAGTAGCTTTTATGAATGGACGGCTGCTATACTGTGCATGTGGCCCTTGACACATAACCTTGTTACCTATCTAAGTTTTGTTTGTATCCACACGTTTGAATGAATGAACTCTTCGCTTTATTAGCTTCCAACTTTGAAAGGAAGCTCACCCAAGGCTCTTACTAGCCTTCATTCCAGGTGCTGGATATATTTGATGTGCAGGTTGTACTTCAGATAAACGCAAACAAGCAAATGAAGTACTTTGGGAGCAGTAAGAGATTCAAATCTGGAAAGATTATAAAAAAAGCTCTAAAAAGAACTAAACAAATGGCTCCGGTAAAGATGAAAAAATAATGAAATACCAGTACATGTACAATACATACTGTAAGGATTGTTGTTTGAAAGTACACACACATGTACAGGTATATGTTTTGTTATGACCAGGAAAATCACTGAATACCAGTAAAACACACTAATACTCTACTTTTATGCTGACTATAAATCCAGAAACTTTTGACATGAAATGTTTGCAAAAACAGGTGCAATGTCATCATGTGCAAGACATATTTGTTTATCGTACATATTGCCTTTTAAAGGATGAGTAGATGTCTATAAAGTCCTTCATACATTTGCAGATTATTTACTAGAGTATACTAGATGGCAGTGCTCGACGCTAACAGGAGCCTGGGACACATGTGCGCCCACAGTCTACCAAAATTTGGAAACTTTGACGTACAGTTAACAAATGAAGTATTCATACCGTTTACAAGTTTTGTAATTTCTTAAAGCTACTCTTGAGCTCTGGTATGGGAATAGTATGTCAAGTTAACAGAACATGGCTATAATCCGTTCTTGTTTATCCTGCAGTAGATTGATTATTTGAACCAGTAAACAAAAACTAGCTGGAAATCATCTTCAATCAAAACAACAACTCTCATGATTTGCACATACATGTATGTCATGTAGTGACCTGTGATTTGTGCCAATGTATGTCTCTTGAAAATGTGACATGTCAAGGCTTACATCTAAAAGAATTTATCTCTGGTCCCCTAATTCAACAAGCCCACCTTGCATTCTTTAGTTGTGAATAACACAAAAGTCATTTAGTTGCCCATTCATGCAGACTCCAGTCCTAACCCCCTTCCAAAACAAAGTTAGTGTGTAGCCCTTCGTGATAGGTTTTCTTGGGGCTATTCTATTAATGTGCTGCGTGACGTACGGGACGCTGTGGTCCCGTACGTCACGGAGCACATTAATTACAATAAAAATTAATTAAAAAATTGGTCAGAACTAAAACTTTCCACAAATGAACTAGCCCATAATAGCCACAGACTCATACCAAAAGATAGCCATATAAATAATTTCATCTGTTGTTATTTCTTGTTTAAAGTCTCTAAATGTCCCGTACGTCACAATCCAAATAGCTTGGACCTGCCCTTAAGCGCATATTGAAATGGCGGCCTTAATCGTGTAGTGGTGTATGAGGGCATGCTGAATGTCTGTGACTGAGACTAGTCCGTAGTAATGATTCAAAGAGGGCGGGGCCTTGAATGAAAGCAAATTACCCTCAATGAATAAACCACAAAGAATGCAGGTTTTTATGAAAGATTGAGTGCCTGCATTGTGCATGCTTACTCATTTGTAATACAATGGAGATTGTAGGCAATAGAGAGATTTTTCTCTTTGCAATTTGTATGCTGTAGACACCATTGCATTGTATCTATGAAGTTATCAATTTAGGGTGAGTTAAATGTACACTCTTCGCTACGATAATGTATTTGATGTATACGTGTACATGTAAGTGTACCTGTATTTATTTGACTCCTTTATTTGTGCTTATTTGAATGTGTTGAGACAAAAGGATGTGATGTTAAAAGCTTCTATTACATGTAAGTGTTCGGAGCCCTAAATTTTCAAAAAATTTGATGGCAAAATTTCAGTTATATTGTAGCATAATGTTCTCTCACCCCCCTTCCTCTCTCTCTCTCTCTCTCTCTCTCTCTCTCTCTATATAAAATCATGTTCTCTCACCCTCCCCCCTCTCTCTCTCTCTCTCTCTCTCTCTCTCTCATGTTCTCTCACACCCCTCTTCCACCTCTCTCTTTCAGCTTGTCTTGTTCACATCGTGTCTATGCAGACAGGCAGGATACATGTTAATTCTGACACCTCATGATGAGTCTTTCTTTCTCTCTCTACCGTCAGTGTCCTACAATTTGTACATGTAGTATCATAGTATCCTGGCCATGATCCATCACCACAACATTGATAATCATTGTGATCATTATAATAATAATAACTACAATAATAATTTGTCGCTGTTTTCACGAAGTGACGGTAGTGAAAAAATAATTGCATTCACTTTGCGTGACGATTTTCCTCACTACCGTCACTTCGTGAAAACAGGGACGAATTGTATTACAGTCAAACCCATCTGTAAAGATGTTTCAACGATAAACTATATTCAACGGAGACAAAACATGTGGTATTTGTAGACTGGCAGTCTTTCTATACAGGTGGTCACTCCAGCAGGTTTGACTGTATTATTAAGGGTAGTGTACAGGTAGTAGTAGTAGTAGTAGTAGTAGTAGTAGTAGTAGTAGTAGTAGAAGTAGCAGTAGTAGTAATGATGGTGATGATAATGATTTATTTATTATTTTTGGAAAGTTTACCAGTATACATGTTTAATTATTTCTCCAATTTCTCTTTGAATTGCTGTTTCCTGTAGGTTTAGTGCTGATCAAACTGACTCGGTGTAAGGGTGTATGGTACACGGAGACCAAGGTTGAGGTACGTATAGCACACTTAAAGCCCCAGTGCACTACTAATAGCTACTTGCACCCTCTAAAGAGCAAACAATGCCAAAGCGGTGTCCATTGGTTCCCCATGGTCCCCTTTTTCTGTAAATGTTAATTGAGAGCTGAGTTGATGAGATAACCACCTGTCGGTGACCATGCAGCGAGCTCTAATCCCTCCAGGCCAAACTGGTGCAGAATGCAGATAGGCTTTAAATGCTTTTCACACTTGTTTTGCCTAGCCCGGACTAATTTTTTGGCTTTTCACACATGCTGTTGTAGTCCCGTACTCCTACGTAGCGCCTACGATGTATCCTGTGATCAGAAAATTCATGTTAGCATCGCAATTGGAGAGTTAGCCAACTAACCTTGTACTTTATAATAACTTTCGTAAATTTGCGTCTGAACAGGAAGGGGGCTAAGCTAAGGACTATAGGTGGGGCTAAGACCCCCTTTAATCCCGCCTACACATTCTGATGGCAGGACCATCATGTCGTGTGTGGTGGGTTTTAGAAATCTCCACCTTGAAATAACTTGCACACCTGTACAGTGACCTATTGTTTGAGTAGAACAAGAAGAGGGGTGGGTGGTTCACTCTGTATCTAAAACGGACAATGCGACGTAGAGCTTTGCATACTTGTAAAACTACACGTAATGCTGGTACGTACTTTGAAATGGTATTTTAAAAATCAACAAAGCATTCAAAACTAAAGCGAAAACAGAAACTGTTAAAGGGAAATCCAACCTTGATAAAAAATTACACATGTACATGTATTCTGGAGGAAAGACAGATCAGAGAACTAGACATGTGAAAGTTGAATTGATATTGGACGAGTGAGCTGCTTGCAAGAAGCTAAATGTACACTATGCATGTACATGTATGTACCGTCGATGTCAGTCTTCTTATGACTAGCTCATGATTTTGCCTGAATAAAGATTTTTTTTCTATTTAAAGCTTTTTACGTTTTCTTTCTTTCTTTAAAAACAAGGGGTTAGGGGATACCAATATGTATGATGAATTGATTCCAAACTGAAATGTATTCAGAACTATCTTAGTTTGAAATGTAGCTTATAGCATACTATTAGCTACCTGTACATACATGTACTTTGTACATTTACACTTGTACTGTATCCAGCCATGTGAGATAATTATGTAATCTAATATTAATTGCTGGAGTAATAATTTGTTTATCTTTTACCAACAGGTCTGAAGCATCTTTCCTGAAGAAAGGGAAACATTGAAAAGAGATTTACGGTGGAAAATAGTTGAGCGCCACGGACCAAGCAGGCCCAGGGCTGTAGGTAGCTAGACTGTGAAAGGGGGAGTCTGGACTCACACAAAACACTGTAACACCTACATGAAAGAGAGTAGAAGGGACCAGAGGCGATCGTGACATTCCTAAGAGGATTTGAAGGAGAGACTTTGACGTTGTTTGATACGCAGAAAGGAGAAAAAAAGACTCTTTAACGATGGGGAAGGTACTATCAAAGATCTTCGGAAAGAAGGACATGAGAATTCTCATGCTGGGCTTGGATGCAGCCGGCAAGACAAGTATCCTTTTCACAAAATACACTCAATTTATTTTATTATTTTTACAGCGAGACTGCACACTTGTAGCTTCTTCTTCTTCCATTTTGAGTACATGCCTCTTTACAGAGTTTTCTCGTACTATACTGGTGTGTGCAGGTGGACCACTACACCAGGGTTTCCCCCCTACTCTTATACACATAGTGCAGTGGGTTCTTAACGTGCAAAGGTAGTAACTCTTCTCTACACAGGGCCTCCATTTAACATCTTATCCGAGGGACAGAGCGTTTTCCACTTAACATAGCCTGTGTCTATGAACTAGGGGAGGGGCACATTAACACACAATGCAGGCTTCAATCATCCCCCTCAAAACAGCCAACAATGCCTTAGCGGTACCTGTTGATCCCCCATGGCCATGGTCCCCTTTTTCTTATATCCCTCCTTGATAAACTAGTGCAGATATGGTTTAATTAATTTTGATTATTTAATTTTGAAGGGAAAATTTCAGATCAAAATACTGTATTTTAAAGTGGTTTTCTCTCTATGATCAATAATTTAGTTTTTGTACACAATAGAGGGGGTTAGTAAAACACTACCTGTTACCTATTTCAAATCAAAAGAAAAATTGACAGTGATTTTGCTAATCATGAATATTTTGCTACCATACTTTTAGGAAAGATTTTAATTATGTTTCTTTTACAACAACATTTTCGCCCTTTTACAAGTTTTGAGATTTTTGCTGCGTAAATCCATGCAACACCCCTTTAAGACCAGATGCACTAGTTTGGCCAGGAGGGATTAGACCTCACTGCATGGTCACTGGCAGGTGGTTATCTCATCAAATCAGCTCTCAGTTAACTAATGAAAAAGAGGGCCCAAGTACATGTGTAGGTATAAGTAGTGCAATGAGCCTTTAAATAGCCTCTAAACTACATGCACAATGTTGCTAGCATGTTACGCCGTTGGGCACATGTCAATTATTTGTTATCTTGATCACTCACTGTAAGTTTCATTGGATTCTGTGAGATTCTATTTTCTATATATTTACCAGAACTCAAGATTATATTGTTAATACAGTATACAGTATGACTGTGTACAGAGCACTTCCCTACTATGATATCATGCATCAGTCATGCATGGTATCATAGTGTACTGAATGAACTAGGGTGTCCTCACTGTGTGAAGTGCTATGCATCATGGGTAAGACAGTTCCTCATTTTCCTGCAGTAATTAACACAGGAGATTCAATTAGGCATGAGTAGGGCTATCCCCCTTTGTAGTGTTCTAGGCTCGGTGTGTATGTACAGTACTCAGGGGTTTGGTGTCGGCACTCTGGTACATGTGGCTGCTGTGCAGTATGTAGAAGAGTGTTTTAATACATGCACATGTACATGTATGTGGGGAAAGAAAGCTACTTCTACATGTGTCTGTACTTGTGTGTGATGCATGGAGAGAGAGAGAGAGAGAGAGAGAGAGAGAGAGAGAGAGAGAGAGAGAGAGAGAGAGAGAGAGAGAGAGAGAGAGAAAAAAAAGAGAAAGAGATATATAGAGAGAGAAGGGGGGGAAAGAGATAGAGAGAGGGGGGAGATAAAGAAAGATAGATATAGAGAAAAAGATGTAGAGTGGGGGAGATAGAGAGAGAGATAGAGAGAGAAAGAGAAATATAGATAGAGAGAGGGGGATAGGGGGGGGGGGGGGAGAGGGGGGGGGGGGGGGGGGGAGAGAGGGGGGAGCGAGGGAAGGGGTGGGAGAGACAGACAGATCTACAGAGATAATAATAATATTATTTCCAGTGTAATTATTTCTGTATGCACATTCCCTTTGCACAGGATGTATTAGTGATCGCTTGACGATTCATATGGCATCATAATCTCTTTTTTTCTACTAAAAGATAGGGAAATCTGACCTTTGAGATTTACCTGTACATTGTACATGTACATGTACATGTACATGTATGTACGTGTACTGTGTACATTGTATAGACTATGAAGGTGAGTGATAGAGAGAGAGAGAGAGAGAGAGAGAGAAGGGGGGGGGGCAGGGGAGAGGCACACATGTACAATGTACATGTACAGACAGACAGAGAGAGAGAGAGAGAGAGAGAGAGAGAGAGAGAGACAAAGTCATAGACAGAGAGGGGAGGAGGAAGAGGCAAGTAATGCAAAAACCAGAGGAAGATCCTCTGAGGAGTTTGAGAAAAAGAGAGAATGAAAGTAAGACAGACAGGTAGGCAGACAGAGAAAGGGATGGGGGTGTGAATGTGAGGGAGGTGGAGCGGGGGAGAGAGATAGAACAGAACAATTATGAGAAAAGCAGGTCAAATAGCTTGAGAAGGAGTTTGAGAGAAAGAGGGAGAATGGGGGTGGGCAGGAATGAACACTTAAAAAGAAATAGAAAGAGAGAGAGAGAGAGAGAGAGAGGGAGAGCAAAATTAGAGGGCGGGGGGAGGGGGTTTCAAATTCAAATATTGAGTAGTATACCCTTTTTTAACTGCACTCTATCGGAGTCACACCGATGAAAATACCGATTGAATTTTCCTTATGTAAACAAAGGTGAAACCGCAGTTTTCCCCCTGTCGGTTTCTAACTGCCGGTGAAATTCACTCGCTGTGGCGAGCCCTCGCCGGAAGTGAAGAATTATTACGTAATTATTAAGCCCGCGCTCCATCTAGCTAGCATGCAGCTTGTTTAAGTCAACAAACACAGCTGGTTACGGTAAAGCGCGCGTATACTGCGACCTTTGACCATTTTAATCGCTGTTTTAATCGCCCTTTTCTCCCGAACGTTTTCTAACTGCACGTTTCATCGGTGTCACACCGATAGAGTGAGAATTTCTCCTGCTCTAGAGCAGGAGAATTTAATCGCCTATTTCTCTTCTTTTCATCGGCTATTTAATCGCCTTTTTCTCCTCTGTTGCTTTCTAACTGGCACTTTCATCGGATGCGTCCGGATGCATCCGATGGAAATCGGTGCAGTTAGAAAAGGGTAGTAGAGAAACCGTTAGACAAGAAAGTTAGAAAGAGAGAGAAAGACAGAGGTGAGATAGCGAGAGAGACAGACAGACCGACAGGGATATTGAGAGAAAAAGAATGAGAGGGAGTGACTGAGTTGGAGAGAGTAGGAAGGAAGTGGGTGAGAACACACCTGAGAAGGAAGGAAATGAAGCAAATAGAGCACATATTACAGTGTCAAGTGTTCATGACCGACCGTACTTCATTATGAATGCAGCCTTTATTATCTCATTCACAATAGAGTACATATTACCGTGTCAAGTGTTCATGACCCACCGTACTTCATTATGAATGCAGCCTTTATTATCTCGTTCACAATAGAGTACATATTACCGTGTCAAGTGTTCATGACCCACCATACTTCATTATGAATGCAGCCTTTATTATCTCGTTCACAATAGAGTACATATTACCGTGTCAAGTGTTCATGACCCACCATACTTCATTATGAATGCAGCCTTTATTATCTCGTTCACAATAGAGTACAACTCAGTACATATTACAAAGCAAGTGTTCATGACCGACCGTACTTCATTATGAATGCAGCCTTTATTATCTCGTTCACAATAGAGTACATATTACCGTGTCAAGTGTTCATGACCCACCATACTTCATTATGAATGCAGCCTGTATTATCTCGTTCACAATAGAGTACAACTCAGTACATATTACAAAGCAAGTGTTCATGACCGACCGTACTTCATTATGAATGCAACCTGTATTATCTCGTTCACAATAGAGTACAACTCAGTACATATTACAAAGCAAGTGTTCATGACCGACCGTACTTCATTATGAATGCAGTCTTTATGACCTTGTTCACACTCACAAAATTCATCATCAAACATGTACATGTACATTGTTCATGAAAACCATAGAAATACGTGTACAATTATTAAGTACCTGCTTAAGTGACGACGTGTATAGAAAGAGCACAAAAGATGGTCTTTGTAGACAGGTTACATGTACATGTTTCAATGAGAAAAACCATTTTCAAGGGAAACTAAAAATGTCTTGGTAGTCAGGTGGTCCTTGTAGACAGAATATTATCTTTTTTTAACAATTTACCTGTACTTGGCAGTACTCATGACACTCATCCAAACTCTATCATTCTCTCTATTTTTCTTGTGCGCCTCGGAGTAGCATTGTCTAGATAGACGGCGCTATATAAATGCCTATTATTATTATCATTATTATGGCCACTAAAGCAGGTTTGATTTTTTAAGAAAAGCGCAGTAAACTTGGTACATGTAAGGCTTGTTCGGGTATGGAGCTGTAAACCATGCACAGACGTACCTCAAGATTTCCATATTTAAATCAAAATTGTCTTTATGAAACGGCTCAAGTTTGCAAAGCACATTAAACAGCGCTGTGTAGTTGAGTGAGTCACTGCCTATTTTTAACAATTACAAATAAAGGCACATGTATGGTTTTATGGATGTTTTAATGGGAAGTCCCTCCTAAGGAAACATTGCCAGCTTCCCTGTTTAAATGCAATAGAGTGTGTTTACACAACTAGAAATATTCAAACAAACATTTTGAGAGTTGTGAATTACACTGTATATCAGGTAAATGTAGATTTGCTACAAACTCACTGATAATGTTCATTACATACATGTACATTGTACATGTAGTTGTACTGGACAAAAATGACAGTGTTTGTATTTGAAATCTATTTATGAAGTACATTTGTCTTAACTTTGTCCATGTTGATAAACAAAATGTGCTCCGTTTCCTGCTAGAGAATTGAAGAGTCATTGTAGGTTTCTACGATGTCATTTTATAAATGTTTTCAAGTCTGCTATTTTTGTCAAGTTAATGCGGGGTTCAGGTTCTATGCTGCATTGGTGTAGATACAATGTACAAGTATGGGCAAAAGGGCACCCCCCAAAAAATATAAAAAGGGGAGAGGGATGGCGGAAATTAACGAAGCTTGTACAGAGTGTGGTGTAGTGCCCTTTCACAGTACATGTCAAGGAATGAGCTCTTTAAGTGGTCATGGTGCTTCACTGTTTAAGACTCTATCAAGAGAGGAAATTGAAGATTTAGCTTAACGTGAAGTTGTCATATTCTAAGCTACTCAAAAGAGATGATCACAATGACTCACTTATCTTATACATCAGATCAGGTCTGCATAGTTAAGTGATTAGTACAGGTTGTACGTGTAGTACAGTACATGATTAATATGTGCACAGTACAATGTTCATCGCAATGTACATGTACATCACTTGGCTTTCAATAGATAAATGAGTTCTAGATGAGTTATCAATAACATGATACAATATTAATCTGTTATTTATAATAAGGCTGTGCACAACAGTGCAATGAGGTACCGAGTACACTCCCAGGCTTACACTCGAATATTCGGAGCCCATGTTTTTATATAATTTTTTTTGCCACCACCATACCACTGGAGCAGTATTCCAAGTCCATCGCGGAAAACGCATGCAATTTTACTTCGAGTTGCAGTTGAAGGTGCTGATTTAATAATAATAATAACAGTGAACAATGCTGTTTTAAAAACCAAAGATGGCAGAATGATCCATTTTCCTTCGAGTCCAAACAGAAATCCGGACATTTGGTCCCAGTTTCTGAATGGTGAGTTTGACAGTGCTTGAGTTGGGGAACATTTTTACCGACGGTACCATGCCAGCGGCAGGCGCTCTCCCTGGCACGGCTAAGCGTCGGCCTGGACAGTGCCAGGTGACGGGGATTTATTTATTTATTTGTATTTTATTTTATTTTTTTATTTTTTTTTTGCGGCCGAATATTCGAGTACGAGAAATCGTACTCGAGTAGTTGTCAACCGTGCAGGTACTCAAGCATTCGACTACTCGTCGCAGCCCTAATTTATAAGCTACTGAAATCATGGCATTTGATTGGCTGAGAGCAAATTTGTCATAGATATTTAGCATTTGTTATTGATAACAAGTTTTATGTGATGTACATGTTGTATACACAAGTACACGTACTGTACATCAGGCCTTAAATTTCAATATTTTTAGGGCAAGGCCACTTTTTTGTAGGGCACATTCTTATATTACAGCACAAATAGAAAGAATTGGAAAGGGCACACAAAATCTCCAAGGCCAATGAGAGGGGCATTGAGGCCAATCAAAAGGGCATCCACGGCCATGGCCTTGGTGGCCTTGGATTAATTTAAGCCCTGGTATATTGTACATGTATACATCACATAATAATGTACTTGCCTTTCAAGATACAAACATGAGTTCTGAGCCCTGTTTTGTAGAACAAGTGGACGGAAAGTATTTTGTACATTGTCTACAGTGTGTACAATGTGCATGTACTGTACATCTAACATTGTCAGAATGTGGTTTACTCCTCGCAACTATTCAATAGATTTGTAACCTGCGTGTAAATTAATTTGTGAAATAACGACTGAAATTCATCCATTAAACGATGCTTAGTACAGTACTGTCCTGCTCTAGTTTCAGTTGCGTACTACCTTCAATAATGGCATTGCACTTGCGCACGTGACACACTTTCAAAGCATGTGAACAAATATGTACTGTATGCGTTATCTACAGTTGTGCTCAAAATTGATTAAGCTCATGAGTGTAATATTTCACACTGTTTGTAGCTAACATCATAATTGTCATAGCAACAAATAAGCAAACAATAAACAGGAAGTACCAATGATACATGTAGCTTTTTACTAATGAAGAATTTAGAAGAGTATTGTTGTTTTCCATAAGGTGCACTTGCACATGTGACAGTAACACACATTCAAAGCATGTGTACACTACAGTTGTGCTCAAAATTAATTACGGTAAGCTCATGAGTGCATTATTTCCTAATGATTGTAGTCACTGTAACATCAGAATTGTTACAGCAACGAATAGGCAACAGATATGCAGGAAGTACCAATAATAGCTTTTACTAATAAATGAAGAATTTAGAAAGGTACCGGAATGTTATTTTCCATAGGGTATGGATAATTATGAATACAACTGTACAAGTACCGTATGTAATGTACTGTATGCACGCCGAGTATATGAACATGTTGAGCTGTTGATGAACAAGTTTACAAATTCCGTGTGTAGTGTATGTCTACATGTACAGGGGGAAAATACAGACCTGTACATGTATGTAGATTAAGCTTTAAGGCCATTAAAAAAAATATACATGTTTAGCGTCCCCGCCCGCTTCCTTTTTGGGGGCTGCCTCCTATTTTTTTGGTTTTTTTTGTTGAAATTTTTGAATTTTTTTTTTGATTTTTTTTTTTTGAAAGATAAAAAACATGAAAAACACTGGTAAAATCGCTCTATTTCTGATTTTAAAAAAAAAAAAATTGTCGGCGGCCATCTTGAAAAAAAATAGCCTCGACTGTCAGGGAAAAAGTACCGAGCGGCCATTTTGAGCGGCCATTTTGAAAGAAAAAAAAAATAAAAAGGGCCTCCTCTTTCCTATTTTTCGAAAAAAACAGGACGCTAAACATGTTTTTTTTTTTTTTTGGCCTTACAGTTAACAACTGAAATATTCATACCCCTTGTTAATTTGATTAAAAAAATCAGTTATTTAATGCAAGATTGAAGAGTTTAATTACATGTACCCGGTAGTTGAATTCAGGCCTTTGTTGAAAATGAATCGGGACAAATCAATTTTTAACATATTTTAAACATTACAAAACTTAAGGGTATGAATAATTTAGTTATTACATTGTAATTCTGTTTACAGGAGTTCATAAATCTCTTATTATTGGTCTGAAAATCCAATTCATTTCAAGCTTTCACCATTCTGTATGTACCCGTCAGGGCGCGACAAACCCACTTGCCCGACGTCCCGGGGCAACCAAATTGAGCCGTCGGGCAAGTAAATCAAATTATCACTTGCCCGATTCGGGCAAGTGATACTTTTACAGTAATTTCCTAGTGTCCAAGAACTCTACCATTCACCCGTCAACTTCTTACCCGTCGTCAAAATCCAGAAGCAAAAAAGCGATCGTTCCGATTTCGAAAAAACTTCACAGACAGCTAGCCAGCTCAGCAGCGCGCATGCAACAGTGACACTTCAAGCCATGAATGCCGCTCCGCCTCCACGCACGGCCGGCCGTGAGCTAGCTAGAGACAGCTAGCGCGATCGTACCAGCTGCGAGTTTATTCGCGCTCTCTCTCTCTAGCTCTGCAGGCCGCACCGACAGGCCTTTGCTATTCTCTGATTGCCGATTGGTTGAATCACGCCAAATATGACGTCATTATTCTAGGGAAATGAACACGTGCGAATCGGAATGGAATAAACAACAGGGATTTTCTAGTAAGTACAAAAAGTCAAATGTTTGATATTTATTCATAATGACTGTTAATGATTGTGAACATATTATTTAAAACTCGCTGCTCATATAAATCAGATGAATGTTTTTGTCTCGTTTTCAATTTATTACTGCGGTCTCAAGATCCGACCGAGCGAGTCATTTTGATAATAGTATCGAGACCCCCAGAATATAAGCCGTTGTTGTTTTGTTTTCATGGTTTTAGCGACGTTGTTTAGTCTAGTTTTCGCATACTTATCCGAGATTTATCGTAAAATATCTTCAATATTATTATTTAGTAAGAATTTACAAATTTTGGCATGATATTTATAGCAGTGAATGATGAAATAAAAATGTCCGTACTTTATTTAAAATAGTTGATTACCCATTATTTACATGACGTTTCTTGATGGAAGAGTTGACCCAAATTATTAACAGCTGAAAATTAGCCTACGTTTCCAAATGACAGCGGCTTGCACAGACACACATGTGATGTTGCACCATGGTACATGTGGCTACCATTAATGACATGTTTGTATCATATTTTTTACAACAGGGTCATTATGCTTTTTTACATGACTGAATATTAAAAACTTAAACCTGCTTGAACCATTCTACCTTGCCGAGATTCATGTGAATCTGATTATTTATGGAGAATCAATAAAATGCGTTTTTTAAACCTTCAACCATCCTTTGTTGACCATTTTCTTTGACATATTAGGTTATTATTCAGTACAGTTACACTGTACATGTATGTGCATTCATTTGCTATCTAAAACACTAACTTATCATTACGAGATAATAAATGCTTTAACCTCGAGTCCTTTTTCGCTTTAAAGTTTTGGGCAAGTGGAAATATTGTTTGGGCAAGTAAATTGAAAACCCACTTGCCCGACAGGGCAAGTGGTGAAAAAAATTCTTGTAGCACCCTGCCCGTATATTCTGTCTGATTCAATATTGAGTTATTGACCTTAAACCAGTCTTCCTTTCACAGCCGTGTTATAAATATAAACTGGGACTTGGTTCAATCAGTCACGACTATCATAACTCTAAACTCTCTTATTATTGGTCCGATTTATTTCAAGCTTTCACCATTCTGTGTACCTGTATGATTGATCAATGAGTGTTTACCTTAACCAGTGTTCCTTCCTCAGCGGTGTTATATAAACTGAAGCTGGGCCAATCAGTCACAACCATCCCAACGGTGGGCTTCAACGTAGAAACAGTCACATTCAAAAATGTCAAATTCAATGTATGGGTAAGTATCAGAAAACACTATAATTATGTTTATTGAAATATGATGAAGATGGTGGGGGTGGTGGTGGTGGTGGTGGTGGTGGTGGTGGTGGTATTGATGACGATGATGATGGTGAGGATGGTTGTGGTGATGATGATGATGATGATGGTGGTGGTGGTGGTGGTGGTGGTGGTGGTTGTTGTGGTTGTTGTGGTGATGATGGTGATGATGAAGGTGATGATGATGATGGTTGTGGTGATGATGATGATGATGGTGGTGGTGGTGGTGGTGGTGGTGGTGGTGGTTGTTGTGGTGATGATGGTGATGATGAAGGTGATGATGATGATGAAGGTGATGATGATGATGATGAAGGTGATGATGGTGATGTAGTTGGTGATGAGGATAGATGACAATGATGGTGATGATGGAAAATAATAATGGCTAATATAAATTCTGTTATAGTAATAAAAACGATTTCCAAAATAATAGTAATAATAGTTCACACTACAACTACTATTTCTTGACACCTTAGGCCATGTAAAATTGATTACATGTTGATCGTATGGATTTTTTGAAAAAGAGGAGGAGGGTGTACCATGTTATTTGATATTTGATATTTTTCCCAAGATGGCTGCCGCGTGTACAAATAGTATATAATTGAATATGTACATCAACCAACGTTGCTGTAGTGAGTTTGATTTGCCCTAAAATATCAGCATATCGCCGATCATATAGCATATCAACCACTCTACATTTCAATACAATTTTTTCTAGAGTCTTAGTATGTTTGTACAAGAATATTTGAACAGCGTATTTGAAGAAAAGGTGGAAAAGATGCATATGGTAAGTATTCTGTGTTGTTTTCTGAATAAAAAGAAAATATATCAAATATCAAATATAAGGAGGCGGGCGGAAGAAAGGAAGCGGGCGGGGACGATCAACATGAAATCAATTTTACATGGCCTTATAATAATGATAATAATGCTGATGATAATAATCTTAACAACAAGAGTAACAATGTTTTCTTTATGAGTTTCAAGCAATATAGCTATAGTCTGAACACAGCCTGGTTGCAACAAGGTTTTGTTCCTGTATGTTTGATCCAAATTGAGGCACAAGGAAATGTAAATGCCATACTTGTAATGCATATTATTGTAATGTATATGTTTATTTTCGTATGTGCCAGAAAGATTCCTGCTCATTTTTCTTTCCAATGGAATTATTTCTGTATGCACATTCCCTTTTCACAGGAAGTAACTGATCGCTTGACATATGGCATCATTTAACTTTAAAAAAAACCTACAGAAATCTGACCTTGTGATTTACTGGTATGTACATTGTAATATAGACTATGAAAGCAAAGTATGCAGAATCGAGTCGATACACCACTTAAAAACAAATCAAAACCAAATATGAAAATTAACCTGTCTTTCTCTCTCTCTCTCTCTCTCTATCTCTCTTTTTTCTCTTTATCTCTTTCTCTCTCTCTCTCTTTCTCTCTCTCTCTCTCTCTCTCTGCTGAATGTTAGTGGTCCAGATAATCTAACTTGTATGGAGGTGTTACCCAATGTTTACCTAGTGCCAGACTATTCTGCTTCTATTCAATTTTTTTCTAGGATGTTTATGGTCAAAATAGAATTAGACTCAGACATCATGTTCATCTTCTTTTTTTTTTGCAGGATGTTGGTGGTCAAGATAAAATTCGGCCTCTATGGAGGCATTATTACACAGGAACACAGGGGTTGATCTTCGTAGTAGACTGCGCCGACAGGGATAGGATAGACGAAGCAAGGCAAGAGCTCCATCGGATAATCAACGATAGGGAAATGAAAGAAGCTATCATCCTCATCTTCGCCAATAAACAAGACCTTCCAGATGGTAAGAACTCAAACTGATCATCGGACCATTTGGTTCTTTCTCGCCCTTTTTACTATCTTGTCAGTTTTCGCCCCTCATTTCTTTTTCTTTGCACCTTTTTTGTTTTCACTCGCACTCTTTTCTGTTACTCACCTTTATCTTTTTTCTCCCCCATTTTACTTTCTTTCACCCTTTTACTATATATCTCTTGCCCTTTTTCTTCACCTGCCCGTTTATCTTTTTCCCCTATTTTTACCATCTCTTCCCCTTTTTATTATGCTGTTTTTGAGCCAATATATTATGGGTAACACCCTGAAGTGACTGCTAACCAATGATGAGAACCAAACAAAAGTTAACATTTTGTGGTGTCATTTCTGTTTGGCTTTCACAAATTAGAAATAAAAACTGAACCCTAATTTTTGTAACATGAAGCAAGTGACATAATAATAATAATAATAACTATTTCTTATATGGCGCTTTTTCAGGAAGGCCCTATCAAAGCGCCTTACAGATATATATACTATTACCCCGGTCATCGGATTCAAGGCTTACCCGCACACAATGTATGCACATTCTCCACTCCCTGGGGAGCATAGATGCATTAATACCTATGCACCTAGGCATTAATACCTATACATAGATGCATTAATACCTATGCATTAATACCTATACATAGATGCATTAATACCTATGCATTAATACCTATACACAGATGCATTAATACCTATGCATTAATACCTATACATAGATGCATTAATACCTATGCATTAATACCTATACATAGATGCATTAATACGTATGTGCTCTTTGTCTTCCCCTCTGTGCAGCCATGAAGCCCATCGAAGTCCAAGAAAGACTAGGCCTCACCAAGATCAGGGACAGGAACTGGTTCGTTCAGCCTGCCTGCGCGACGTCAGGCGAGGGCCTTCTAGAAGGGTTAACATGGCTAACCTCTAATAATAAACCCTGATCTGATGCAACACAAATATATATATCAACAAAAAAAACAAGAAAAACTAAAGTCTGCCTACTTTTTCTTAGCCTAGCTTCCAGCAGGAGGATATATTCCTTCGCATTCTCTTCCCTATTGTACAGTCTAGCTTTTCGTTGCACCGCCCTCGCTAGTCAAAGGATGTTTTTGGAAAGACTTCAACATGTTTTGCTAGTCGGGGGTAATCGGTAGCGACAAATAGCTAAAGGGGTGTGAGATTGTGAGAAAAAAATGATCTTCTTGTATGGAAACTAGGCTAACTATACCTTCTTGTAATCTTATATAAATAAAGACAATTTTTTAATAAAAAGATTTGTTTATACTTAGATGATTCAGTAGAGTTAATTCTCAGAAAAATGAATTTTTGTTGTTGTTACAATGTGTATATTAATGCTCAAGATACTGTTTGCCTGTATGTACAAATCTCCCATATTGGTTTTGGAAAAGAGTTTCAATGTAAGGCCTGTTTACACATGGTGTGTCCGTTCAAGCGATTTCTTTTAAGTTTCAGCGAATGTCAATTGGGGATGAAGCACAGTGCAGTAGGCAACAATGGTATTACATGTACGGACTACCTATCTGTGTGTTAAACGATGCGGGAATGTGACAAGCTTGGCGCGCACTATACGATCCATCTGTATGATCTGACTTTGAAAGAATTTGTGATAGCAAATGTTATGAACGTTCACACATGTAAAATCTTACTGAGTGAGGCTCTCATATCATTGATGAACTCAACATTTCAAGGGATTTCAGGCTCCCTTGGACGGGAAATGCTAAATGGCGTAGAATCATACAAACGTCAAACTCGCTATTGGCTACGATTTGACGCAGTTTTGGTTTTATTCCGACTTGAAATGATACACACAAATTCCAAGTTGATTGTTTGGCACCTAAATCAGAAAGGAGATAATACAATTCTAATTTCTACAAGAAATTGATTTGCAGTTGGATCGTATAGTTTGCGTTGAGCTTTACTGAAAAAACACAATTCTGCCGGGTTTACAGAGTTGCATGTGAACTAGTCTTGTGATGATTTTGCAGAGGTTTATTGTAATCGGACCTACCTTGCAGTGCCTATGTTGCAATAAAACCATACATTTTCTCAATAGAGTACCGTAGTGTGATGTCATACTGGCTAAGTTGTCAAGGTTGCTGGTTCCAAACAATTTTGTGCTAAACAATGGTGTGGTGATCACACCAGCCTCAAACAGTAAATCGGCCCTGCTCCATCCCGTTGCTTAAATGATTGGGGTGAACCTCATGCGCAGGCTCCGTTGTATGGAACCAGTAACCTGGACGACGAGTGAATATGATGTTAGCACTTCGGTGCTGTCTTACTTAAGCCAAAAGCTCTGAAGATCCCACCAAGGTGTTACAAATGTGGTGTTTGGTGCTTAGGCAGTTATTAAGCACATTCAAACTATTCCTGTGTTAGAGATCCTGAATTCATTTCATGGTTTTTGTGCAGTGTTAGCACCTGATGAGGTGTTTGCTTAGCACCAACATACTCCATTACACCTGTATTGAAATCCATCAGTGCATTAATGACTCAATATTAGCACCTAGTCTTGGTGTCAGTGTAAATCCTATTCAATCGCTTGAGAAGTTTCAAAGAATTAGTTTCTCGCTGCAAAAAGGACAAATTAATTTGACAGTATTTTAGTAGGCAGAGTATGAATTGCATTGCTGCTAAACCGACATTTACATGTATTAGTACATGTCATTAGTTCAAAGTTCAAAGTTCAAAGCAATTGCTTGATGTGCACTTATGTTTCACCCTCTTGTTGATATCATGTGACATGTCATGTGATTTAACCATCAGATCACATGACCAGAGTTGTCACATGCTACTTGCCTTTGTATTGTTGTAATGTACATTGGCTTTATGCAATTCTAGAGGCATTGGTTAGTAGTTGTTTCGCAACCCCTAGGGTTCTGCCGGAAAGTTTCTCAATGATCCTCGGTGCTATGGGAAACAATCGCTCGTGTCATGTTCAAACGATTCCTAGTTACTGGTAATAATTAAAAAATATGATAGAACATTTCTGCTATACCACAAGTCAATACTAGCTATTAAAACTAATATTAAACATCTTTCCTGTACCAATGGTTGATATAGATGGCGATGAAGAATTAACAAAATGCAAGTTTTTGCTTGGGCTGAGCCTTAAAGCCACACTGTCCTACCTGTAGCTACTTGCTCCCTCTATATAGAAAACAATGCCTAACCGGTGACCACTGGTCCCCCATTATCCTCTTTTTCTTATGTTAATTGAGAGCTGAGTTGATGAAAAAACCACCTGTCCAGTGACCTTGCAGGGTCACTGTAAACTAGTACAGATGGGCTTTAACAAATCTGCTCACAGCCAATCAAATGCATGGATTACAGTAGCTTATACCAGTTGTTGCATCTTGCTATTGATAACAAGTTTCATGAAACAAGGGTGGGCCTTAAAACAATTCAATTAAAATCAACTATCGATTCATAACTCCTGATTACATAATAATCAATGTATGGCAGGCTTTGGAAACGTATGGCGGGAGAAAAATTACATTTTTATTATTAATCTATGCATGTACAGGCATTTTGACTTACCTATTAATGTTCTTCTATACTCCTTAGCACTAATTTGTATCTATTTCTTTTAGTTGAAAAAGTGCTAATATCTGAATACATTTGATTGATAATTCCTTCTTTTTTTTTAAATAAAAAGACTATCTGGGACAGTTTGCATTGAGTACATGTATTTATATTTTCTGATTTATTTCAAAACTTGTCCAGGCTTTGAGAATTCTGTTAGAAGGTGTAGTTACCCAACGATCAAGGCATTCACAACAGTATATCTTTTCAAAATGAACATATCTTTGTGAATTATTTTAGTAAAAAAGTGTGAAATTAAATTTCACGTCTGTTAGGCATTATTTTCATTTGCTAAACAGTTGTGATGTAATTCATTATTCTTCCTACACATTATCAAAGCTCATCTGTACATTATTTTAGTTAAAATAATAGTTTAAAAAAAATAAACTCACTCAGGCACATTTCATCCTCGAAGGCACCCTTGTGTCTGCTCAACACTCGTTATCCTGGGCCCCTTTTCACAAAACTTGTCATCGATGACAAATGACAGTTTATGTTAATACAAGTTACTGAAATCCTTGCTCCTGATTGGTTATCAGCAGATTTGTCACTGATTTTTGTCATTTGTCATTGAAAAAAGGTTTTGTGAAACGGGGCTCTGGACTTGGCCCTGCTGATGTATGCAATATGTGGGACTAGGCTAATGTTTCCAATGTAGACACCTATGCAGTGAGTTGGTATTTGTGTAATGAGTTATCAGCCCTTTTGATGGAAACACAAATTCTGCAGCTTCCTGAGGAAGTTCATACATGCTAAAGCTAAACAAGAGAGGTTTTGTGAAATCAGCTTGATGATGTAGTAGTCATGAAACAACTGTTCAAATCCAGCTAATTTGTGAAAGCATCAAACCTATATCTGCGTTTATATAATGCCCAGAGTCAAAAATCTTTGTAACAGTTGTTAGACCGCTGGTTGGAATGGAGTAAAGGCTTGTCAGATGTGGCGCTGTAAACACCCCAGAAATGAGCCCTCATGTTTTAAATGGATGGTACCTGCGCACAGTAAAGGACTTGAGCGTATATTCACTGGGCTCTGTGTTACAAGATACAGAAAAGGAAAGCTTGTTACACTTTGCGTCATTAGACCAAAAAAACGCAGCGGTATTGCTGCATCATATTAGCCCAAGAATTAAAGCAGAGAAAACCTAATGCAGCATTCAATGTTGTAGCCGTTAGGAATGTAGAAAACAAAGCTTTTTGTATTGCATGTACTCGTGTATGGGAACAGTCCAAGTCATATACCACAGGGCTGTCCCCATGGCTTAAGTTTATTCTTCCATTGTGTATTGTTATGGAGTTATATCCACGGACATGAGTCCAAGCGTTACCTCTCAGTGAGTGAGGAAAGATGTATCTTTGAAACAGGGGGGTGTTTCACAAAGATTCTAAGTCAAACTTGTTCTCTTAGTTGGACTTGAATATTATGGACAGCCATTTGTAGCCTCATAATGAATTATATTCAAAAGCTAAAATTCAAGTATTTTAGACTTTTCATGAATTCCACATCAAGAACATGAAATCTCCCATGATAATAGAAAATATAAATGATTAAAATCAACATTTAATGCCATTTAAAACAACTTTTACAAAATATTTTCAAGGATGCTAACAGCTTTCCATAATAGTCCAACTTAGAGATAAGTTCAACTTAGGATCTTTGTGTAACACCCCCTGATCTATTATTATTTAGCTTTTTTATGTATATCTGAAAGAAAAAGATGAAATTTGGTGCAGTAGTTGTGTGTATTGCTTTCAAAAGTAGGAAAGATTTATAATGTACATATCTCTATATTGACTCTCTCTTGTAATTATTAACTTTCCCCTCTATCTTGTAGATGCTCTTGATCTCCCCTCCAGCTTGGAATGGAATGATCCTGTCATGTATTTATAGCATAGATTATTTCTTGATTGGGTTCGCACCACTTTCAGATGATAGGGGTGTGTTTTATGATGAGGCATTCTTCCCCTCAGTGCATGTTGTATGTAAGGTAACAGTGCAAGATTATTAAAGACGATTACAGCTTTTTTTCATGTTTGTATTGAGATTTGTAAATTAATAACAGTCATGAATTACCCTTACGATTGAATTATATGTAATAAAACACTTCTGATCATACATTCATACATGTATTTTTTTTTTTTTTTAACATTTTGAATATGAAATGAAATTAATGCGCAGAACAAAGTTCTTTTTGGGTATACATGGTAGACCTTTAAAATAATGCATTTCAGTTGCTTTTTTGACATCTAAAGGCATTTATTCATCTGCTTTTGTTATTTTATTCTATTTATACCTAATAGTAGAGAAGAAGATTTATCCATAGATTCGTCAATTGCAACAAACTTACTTTGTGTATATATATCCCTAGAATGGCACAAATTCAAAACATTGTTCTGTAATCAAAATTTAGACAAATGTAAAATCAAACGATAAGAAAGAAAGATATGTGAGCCCTTATACTTATCCTGACCAAAATAAACACTTCATTATTCGTACGTTTTGCAAATACACTATTTTTCAGATACCGTATACTTATATTATTGTGCCATTTCCTTGTATTTTTATCTCACTTAACTACATGTGTATTATAACCTTACTTTCCCATCCATCACGATGTGTTATATTTTATTTTGCTTACCGGTATTTTTAATTTTTGTTGTACAGTGTACGAGCATAAAAGGAAACCTTTGTATTTTGTGTTCCTACCATCCGGCAGGGATTGAAAATTCAATTGAAATAGGTCAAAGGTCAAGGGGAGTCTGTTCTTCTCTCTCTTGCATTTGTTGTCGGATCCAGTTTGACCTAATGGGTTCATTCATTTACTCGCCAATAATTGGCTACTTTTCGCTGATTTTCGGTGAAAGGACGCCATTACAGGGATTGAAAATCAATTGAAATAGTTCAAAGGTCAAGGGTCATGGGAGTCTTTTCTTCTCTCTCTTGCATTTGTTGTTGTTGTCGTTTGATTCACGCATGTTCTTTTGCCCACTTTGCCTAACGCAGAGAATCAGAACCGGTTTGATTTAATGGTTCATTCATTTACTCGCCACTGCTTGGCTACTTTTCGCTGATTTTCCGTGAAAGGACGCCATTACGGGGCAGGTTTTTATAACTCACTTTGTATGTGATGTGGGCAGTTAGATAAAGCCTCATGAACATGACGGAAGTATAGTTAGAAGGAAAACAAACTTTTTGATACCAACCAACTGACAGTTTACATGTTGTGAATGGATAACAAAGGACTTTATTAAATGCATGTTGATGTTGTTGACTGGGCTTCAATGACCTTATATACAAACAATGTATGTATGAAGTAATTTGCATTCTCAGTCAAGAACTATTGAGAAATGAATAAAACAATATATGTGAGCCTACCCCGCACTGTGTTCCTGTAGTTGTTCCTATTTGTTGCTTTATTCATTTACATGTTATTTATAATAATAATAATAATAATAATAATAATAATAATAATAATAATAGTTCGTCCTTATATAGCGCATTTCAGGACAGCATTTATTCATTCATTTAATTGTTTATTCATTATTTATTCTTTTTTAATTCATTCTTTAATTTATCATTATTTATTAATTAATTTATTAAATATGTATTCATTTATTAATTTTTTTATTAATGTTTTTATTAATTTATTTATTAATTTATTAATTCATTTATTCATTTATTAATTCATTTATTCATTAATTTATTCATTTATTAATTCATTTATTAATTCATTTATTCATTAATTTATTAATTTATTCATTAACTAAGTTTTTTTTACCAGTATTGCTTCATCAGTGATCTCAACAGAAGGCATTGCATTGAAACTGATTTGTATTGGCTTCCTACATGTTGGGCTGTATCTTGTATTGTAATGTGTTGCAGTTTAAGGCCGCTTTATGTATGATCCTGGCATGTGAGAAAGTTATGGTACAAGTTCATGTTCATTTTACTAAAAAGTTTCAACGAGATGTCAGCGAACTTGTACTTTTGACATTTTTGTGAAACGCTGGCGTGCTCTCTTAGCTGTGTTGCTGTGTCTCTTATATACCCTTACATTTGACTGAAATCCAATATTAGATTTTGTGTGGGGAAGAAATTTGCAATATCAATATGAACAGTGAAACAAGATTTTTTTTTCATAGTCTTATGAATGAAACTGAAACTGTACGTTGAGGTAGCTAGTACAAGCTTCCTTAATTGTCGGAGTAAAACCCTATTTGGATACAAATGTAGTGATGTCTATTAAAGGTAAAGACCAGTATTGGAAACGCCCCAATTTCAAAAAATGAAATGGAAGCTCTCATTACCAATCATGTGAAAGAATATGTTTTGACTAATACATGATGATAAAAAATTTGCCGGGAAACCGCCTACTAATTCATATATTTGGTAAATTTGTTTCTCTCATGGTCTGTGAGAGATATAGGTTAGTCCCATATACATCTTTCTGTGTATAGTGCTTGTAACTTAACGAAGAATGGGCCAAATTTCTTATCATTTTGATGATTCGATCCAGAACCTTGCAGATGCTAGATGCTAGATGATCAACCTTTTCTGATCGATCCCACAACGTTTCTTTCACAATGCAATCGCATGATCATAACTGGTCTTTACCTTTAAACCAATGGCATGGTACATATATGATTTATCACCTATTTAGCTTTAAAATCAGCCTGATGACTTTTATGGCCGGAACCAATTACATATCACTCTGTGGTGATCTATTCATTACTTTTTTAAAAGCTTTCCCCATTTAGTGCGATCTCGTACAGTCAAACCTGTCTATAGCGACCGCCCAAGGGAAACACAAAAAGTGGCCTTTGTAGACAGGTGGTCTTTGTAGACAAGTTCCTTTAGTACATGATTCAATGAGAAACCATTTTCAAGGGAAACAACAAATGTGGCCTTTGTAGACAGGTGGTCTTTGTAGACAGGTGGTCACTAAAGCAGGTTTGTCTGTATTTCTTTTCAAATCTGATAGGATTTAGTTCATAGCTTGTCCAATATGGGCTTCAGACTATATATTTTATGAACTATTATGTTGCCCTTTTTGTTTGTATGATGTATATTGTATATATGTGAAGTGGTAAACTGCCACATTTTTTTTTATGCAACTACTAACTAAGGTCTTCGTTGTATTCACTGAACCCTGTGTTTTAAAGATACAGACATGTATTACATTTTACATCATAACAAATATTTACTTGTGATAAATATTTATTGATTTAGCACATAATAATTAACAAATAATTCTCTGAGCGCTTTACAATCTACATCAACATATATAAGAGAACAAATAACACCAATATATGCACACCAACACTTTCATACAAGAATTATTACACTATAGGCCTACTGTACTAAGAAAACGTGCGTTTGAAGGGAAGATGTATTCCTGATCTTCAAGGGCTGGAGCTGAAACCACAAAGGATCGGTTTACATAATATATATGCAAAGAGGATGTACTGTATTTAACAAATAGTTTTCAATTTCGTTTTGCATCCACATTGCATTTAAAAGCCATCACAAATAACTGCAAAACATAACTGCAACATAAGTGCATAACATAACACAATCTGCAATAAAATTGTGTTGCTGTTCAGGTCAGAGAAGGAGGCCTGGGGTTTGTGTTCACCTCCTGCTTTACTATCGTTTTATTGTACCTGTATATTTATTTTTTGGTCCAGTCTATAATTATGTACATATTTTATAAACGTATACATAATATCTGCGTGTATAAACAATGCTGATCGAGAGGAGGAGGAGGAGGAGGAGGAGGAGGAGGAGGAGGAGGAGAGATAGAGAAAGAGAGAGAGACGGAGAGCGGGGGGGGGGGGGGGGAGATATATATATATAGAGAGAGAGAGAGAGAGAGAGAGAGAGAGTGAGAAAGAAGAGAGAGGGATAGAGAAGGAAAAGATTGCTAATAAGGAGGTAAAGTTAAAATGTAATACCATCTTCGGTACTCGCATCACTAAATATTAGTAAAAGTGAAAGGACCGGTTAACCGGATATCCGGACCTGTAAAATCCAAAATGGCGTTTTATCATACTGCTTGCTTTGTGATCACTGTTATGGTTGTCTGCAATGCCATCTTATATCCCACTATATTCAGCTCAATTTTCCGGCGTTGGTTCGGCGAAGCACCTCCGAAGCCAGAGAAGGAATCAGTTCCGGGTAAGATTGATATTTTGTTGTGAATTATCTCGTTTTAATTCAGTGTCAAGAGACAATGTTGTTTGCCATTCCTGGCCTGGCTGGATTGTGGATGCGCTGCAGCACCTCGGTTTTGCAGTAGCCGGGTACGATGGACGGCGGCGCTTTGTGCATTGAGCTGAGTGAACATGAAGTGTAGGCAGTGTGTGAATGCGATGCTGATTTTGAGGATTAAAAGAAGAAAGATTTCATAGTCTGAATCTGAAATAATACTGCTCAACATAGCTAGATGATTAATACCAGATATGATATTGATATGACCTAGATTCTAGCCTTAATTAATTGGCATCCATTTGCCTGTGTAAACGATAGGCCATAGGGGAGCTGGCCGGTCTGACTCTGAGAAAGAGGATCATTGAGGATCGGGCGCTCATGTACTTCGTATCCATTTTTTACCCGTAACTCCGGCGTGGAGATACCCGACCAAAACATACCAAAAATCAAGTAAATCTTCATCAATTGTTCAAATAGGTCTAATGGTCATGATTTAAAAGTCGTTTTGTTTCTCAGTTCTCATCTGGTTTAGTGGTTAGATCTAGTGTCAATTTTATTATTTCTTTTGAAGTATTTTTCCTACAAAAGAAGGCATTATAGATAGGGTCTATAGACTTTCTCACAGGTTCCACATCGGACTGCTGCACAATTACAATACAATTGCATACCGTGTGTACGCGTACCGATGAACGGCCTTGGGTAGTGTGGGCAGGTATGCATGCGTGAAGTTAGTGACCGTAGTAATAATCTAACTTTATTCATGGACACGTGTGCACCTGCACCCCTTCGTCGAGTTGTCGGTATGCGTTACCAGAGACGCCAAGTTCAAAGATCAGCAATGCGTGACATTTTCATGATTCGGCGTGCGGGCGAGGGTATAACACACGTATAAGGTACATGTATAGCGTTTTTTCTAAACCTAGCGTGCGCGCCGTGCTTGAGAGCATTTTCAGACCTTCAAAATGCGTGACGTCATGCCTAATGCGTGACATTTGGTACCGTAACGGTTACGGTAACAACATGCAATTGTATTGTAATTGTGCAGCGGTTTGCTGTGAAACCTGTGAGAAAGTCTATATTATAATGTCTTCTTTTATTAGGAAAAATGCTCCAAAAGAGATAAGATAATCAACAAGAAACGACATGAAACGGGTATGAAACATAACAAGGATATCCTCATATGAACAGGGACAAAATGCATCCTAAAAAATAAGAAAATGCAGACGTAATTTTAAATCAGACTTTGCTCAAACTTTCAATGACCTGTTCCTCTCATTTTTTCTGCTTCTTTTGAAACCAACTTTAATATGAGAGTGGACTTTCACTTCAACAAGCACTACATGTACCGTAAATCTCAGGTGTATACATGTAAGATGCACCCTAATTTTAGGACCAAGACAAAAAAACAAACAAAAACTCTCTTCTCTTCAAATTAGGAACTTGGTTCTACTTCAATTTGTTCCATTATTTATTCGCATTGTGTAATTCATGTTGAGACACAAATTTTTGAAAACCACTAAAAAGTGTCTTTTTTGAGGACTCAAAATATCCAACCCCGACTTTTGAATTTTTCCGGCGGAAAATAAGTGCGTCTTATACACTGAGGTGTATGGTAGATGTAAATGCAGATTACGATTATAATGATTGTATGTTTGTCTGACAGATTACCCCCCTCACATGAGGCCTAATGCTGGTGTGCGTGGAGGTGCGGCAGGGAGGCTGAGACCCAACCCAGGCAAGCCCTCTATGTCTGGAGGAGGAGGGGGAGCAGGGGGCAGTTCAGGTATGCTCTCATATCATTACAGGGGGGGGGGGGGGGGGGGTGCAGGGAGGCTGAGACCCAACCCAGGCAAGCCATCTATGCCAGGAGGAGGGGGAGCAGCAGGCGGCAGTTCAGGTACATTACTGGGGGGTGTTTCACAAAGACTTTACATTGGACTTAAATATCACCATTGGTCTCTCAATTATGATCAATAATGAACTATCAAAAAATATAAATCCTGTATATTTGTGTCCATGACTTGTACGTCCCTTGAGAGACCAATGCCAATAAATGGTGAGAGCAAACAGAGGTATGAATAGTTAAGTCCAACCTAAAGTCGATCTTAATCTTTGTGAAACACCCTCAGGTGTTTTAAAGTCGCTCTCATGAGTCATGGGGAAATCAATCACTAGGCACATTTATACTGTCAAATACCTCATTAGATTGTTTGTTGTTTGTTGTTGTTTTGCCCTACTGTTACAATTGCGCTGAAACATCACAGACTGAATTAAAGCTCAGTGATGCTTTGGCGTGTTTTGTTGAATACTTTTAGATGTACATTGTGTAAGCTTTAGTATGTAACTTTCTCAAGATACTTAAATCTGAGCGATTCAATTTTCCACTTACATGTAGGTATATGTAGGTATGCGTAATTTAGTAAAATGTGCTTATTTTCCAGATAAAATGTATTGAATTTAAATGAAATACATTTCAGATATTGTGATTTATCAATACAGTAAGTAGGTTAGAAAATGTAAACAAATTCGCACTGCATGAACACAGAATGGCCCATGATGTTGTTACTAATAAATATTACTTTTGTTTGAAGGTGGGGTCGATCCATCGTCTTTCATGGGTCAACAGGCTCAGGAATCCAAAGGCAGAGGCATGATGGGAACTGTACTTCCTGTCTATGCCGTGGGAATCTTCATCTACTTCGGCTATGTGATCTATAAGGTAAGGATAGACACTATGAATATGACGGACAAAGAAAGCGGACAAAATATACAGTTCCTCAGGTAGACATCAAGGAACATCTCTTCACTGCTATTATGTAAAAATGTGTAGAACAGGTGTCACATGCAAATTCACCTGTTTTACACATTTTTACATAATAGCAGTGAAGGGATGTTCCTTTGTCTACCTGAGGAACTGTATATTTTGTCCGCTTTCTTTGTCCGTCATGTTAATAGTGATAACATGTATATTAGACAATTGTTCAATGGTCAATTCCAACTGACCTCCTAAAGGCTTGTTCAGATATGATGTGGCAAACCCGCTGTGTCATTTTTATGCCTCCGCCACCGAAGGTGGTGCCGGAGGCATCATGTTTTCGGGTTGTCCGTCCGTACGTCCGTACGTCCGTCCGTACGTCCGTCCGTACGTCCGTACGTCCGTCCCGTTTGACCGTTATCACAATATCTCAAGAACCATTTAAGATTTAAACTTAAGACTCGGGAATAGTATTTATCACCATAGGAAGACAATCTGATTAGATTTTGGAGTACGTAGGTCAAAGGTCACAGGTCACAGAGGTCAACTTATGAAATTCCTTGTATTGAGTTTGTTAGCGCGATATCTCAAGAACCATTTGAGATTTAAACTTCAAACTTAAGGATAGTATGTATCACCATAGGAAGACGATCTGATTAGATTTTGGAGCACGTATGTCAAAGGTCAAGGGTCACAGAGGTCAACTTATGAAATTCCATACATTGAGATTGTTATCATGATATCTCAAGAACCACTGGAGATTTAAACTTCAAACTTAGTGATAGTGTGTATCACTATAGGAAAACAATCTGATTACGTTTTGGAACACGTAGGCCAAAGGTCAAGGGTCATAGAGGTCAACTTATGAAATTCCATACATTGAGATTGTTATCATGATATCTCAAGAACCACTGGAGATGTAAAAACTTCAAACTTAAGGATAGTATGTATCACCATAGGAAGACGATCTGATTAGATTTTGGAGCACGTAGGTCAAAGGTCAAGGGTCACAGAGGTCAACTTATGAAATTCCATACATTGAGATTGTTATCATAATATCTCAAGAACCACTGGAGATTTAAACTTCAAACTTAATGATAGTGTGTATCACCATAGGAAGACAATCTGATTAGATTTTGGAGCACGTAGGTCAAAGGTCAAGGGTCACAGAGGTCAACTTATGAAATTCCATACATTGAGATCGTTATCGCGATATCTCAAGAACCACTGGAGAATTTTCACTTCAAACTTAATGATAGTATGTATCACCATATCATAATATCTCAAGAACCACTGGAGATTTAAACTTCAAACTTAATGATAGTGTGTATCACCATAGGAAGACAATCTGATTAGATTTTGGAGCACGTAGGTCAAAGGTCAAGGGTCACAGAGGTCAACTTATGAAATTCCATACATTGAGATTGTTATCATGATATCTCAAGAACCACTGGAGATTTAAACTCCAAACTTGTTTAAATTGCTGTATGGCGGAGGCATCATTTTCGACTGCGCGCAGTCAAAATTCCATCTAGTTTATGATGAGGTCAAATTATGATATGCTTCACATTTCTGTATCTTAGCCTTCAATATACCTTAAGTAATGCATTGCTTTTTCCTCACCCAAAGACTTTCCGAGAGATTAGGGGTATTTTTTTTATAGGACTCCCTCTAAGTTTGCTGTGTGCAGACTGGTGCATCCATTAATGGTATTTCCACCAAGTCTGGTGTCAGCTAACTATGGCCTTCTGCACATGGAAACTGACGAACTACCTACTTTCCAAAAGCTTGTCGACTACTTACTAGTAAAGTTTACAGTTTATTAGCAGAAGCTGAAATTACAATTTAATTTTGTTAATCAATCCTTGTTTCCCACAATTTGGTTTTCCAGTGTGACAAACCATTGACACCCTCTACCCAGATGAAATCACTCAACAAGAGCGGTCAACCCTCCAGAGACAACAACTTTCTTAGACTTCAGTTGATTGTCCTCAAACTTCACTGTGTTGTATCTCCTTCTGATTTCATGAAGACCAATGTAGAATCATTGTCAATGTCTTCTGTAATAAAAGTTGAGGTTTTATAAATCTTCACCATTAGGTTTTCCTGCGGGACAAACCAATGACACCCTCCACCAGACCGACCTGGGGCTTCTTAGACTTCAGTTGATTGTCCTCAACTTTTATTGTGTTGTTTCTCCTGATTTCTTCTTTGATAATTGTTGATGTTTCATAAATCTTCACCATTTGGTTTTCCTGCGTGACAAACCCTCGACGCCATCCACCCGACCGACCTGGGGCTTCCCGGACGACGTGGCTCAACAAGAACGGCCAACCCTCCAGAGACAGCAAACTTCCTAGACTTCAGTTGATTTCTTTCACTGTGTTGTTTCTTCTTTAATAATAGTTGATCTTTCATAAATCTTCCCCATTAGGTTTACCTGCGTGACAAACCCTCGACGCACTCCACCAGACCGACCTGGGGCTTCTTAGACTTCAGTTGATTGTCTTCTATAAACTTTCATTGTTGTTTCTCCCTGTTTCTTCTTTAATAATTGTTGATGTTTCATAAATCTTCACCATCAGGTTTTCCTGCGTGACAAACCCTCCACACCCTCCACCAGACCAACCTGGGGCTTCCCAGACAACGTGGCTCAGCAAGAAGGACCAACCCTCCAGAGACAACAGCAAGAGAGTCTACAGCGGAAGCTAGCAGCAGAACTCAAAGCAGCTAACTATCCTGAATTGAAAAAGAGTGATAAGAGAGCTGCTGAGGTCGCCGCTACTGTCGCTGCTGCTACTGTTGCCGCCACTGGGGATAGCTCCAACTCGGCACCGGCAGGTGAGTAGCGGGGGGAAAGGGGTTGAATCCAGGGGGGTGTTTCACAAAGATCCTAAGTTGAACTTATCTCTCATTTGGACTTAGGAAGTATTGAAAGCCGTTTGCATCTATGAAAATATTTTGTAAAAGTTATTTCAAAAGGCATAACATGTTGATTTAATCATTCATATTTTCTATTATCATCAGAGATTTCATGTTCTTAATGTGGAATTTATGAAAAGTCTAAAATACTTGCATTTTTGCTTTTGAATATATTTTATTTTAAGGCTACAAAATGGCTCTTCATAATGTTCAAGTCCAACTTAAAGTTAGGTTTGACTTGGGATCTTTGTGAAACACTCTCCTGGTGAATATTGTTTACACTACATCATACAGAATAAAAGGGACCATCATTTAAAGCCTATTGAGGATTGACAGGTTGGTGGGCCCAAGAATTAGAAAGCAACAACATAAATGTTTGGGGGAAAAGGAAAAGTAAGTTAAAACAAAGGTGGTGGGTATTAGCGTTAATCGAATGTAATTTAATTGAATGTTTGAATCGAATGAGATTGAATGAAATTGAATTTAATGTTTGAATCAAATGAGATTGAATGAGATTAAAGGAAATTGAATGTATTGAATTGAATATTTGATTTGAATGAGATTGAATGAAATTTAATGTTATTTAATTGAATGTTTGAATCAAATGAGATTGAAATTGAATGTTTGAATCGAATGAGATTGAATGAAATCGAATGTAATTTAATTAAATGTTTGAATAGAATGACATTGAATGTAATTGAATGGTTGAATTGAATGAGATTATTGAATGTCATTGAACAAAATTAAATGTCATTGAGTGAAATTGAATGTAATTGAATGTTTGAATTGAATGAGATTGAATGAAATCGAATGTAATTTAATTAAATATGTTTGAATAAAATGACATTGAATGTAATTGAATGTTTGAATTGAATGAGATTATTGAATGTCATTGAACAAAATTAAATGTCATTGAGTGAAATTGAATGTAATTGGATGTTTGAATTGAATGAGATTAAATGAATTTGAATGTAATTTAATTGAATGTTTGAATAGAATGACATTGAATGTAATTGAATGTCATTGAACGAAATTAAATGTCATTGAGTGAAATTGAATGAAATTGAATTTATTTCTTTTTTGCAGGATCGACTGAAGAAGTTGATATGTTGAAGAAGCGCCTGGAGGAGACAGAGAAGACGATGCAGCGTATGATGGACATGATGAACTCAATGGGTGTGGCTATGAGCCAAGTCTCTCATCATCTTTGTGAGTATCAGCAGGGAATCGCCATTTGGTCCACAACCCGAATGGTCTATATCCATATGGTCTGCACTCATTATTATTATTAATTATGATTTGATGATCATTAGACCGTATGGATAGTATACAAAATAAGCACCAGACAAACTGGAAATAAGACAAAATGAGCAATAGACGAAATGGGTAATATATTTATTGGACATTAGACCAAAATGGAATTAAACCCAAATTACTTTAGCCTAAATGGTCATTAGACCAAATGATATGTTTACAAAATGATCATTAGACTATGTGCATAGTAGACCATGGGCAAAATAGACCAACTGGTTGTAGACCAAGCAGCAATAAAACTGTATCAAACGGACAGATATTCCAGAGACAAATACATGAATGAATATGAAGAAATTCTATGCGGACAAATTATTTTTAATGTCTCTATACCTTACCAGTATTAAGTGATAGAAAATAGTTTGACTGTATTTATATTATATTTGAATATCTGCAGCAAACGATAAGTCTGGATCACCCACCCTGCTTCCGGGCTTCAGTGAACCCAAGGAGGTCAACGACCACGACATCGAGGATGATGACCTGCTTGACATTGACGTTGACAACCTGAGCGATGAGGAAGACCTCATCATCGGCGACAGCATGGATCCCTGTGGGAGCTCCGATGAGGAAAACGATGTGAGCACAACAAAGGATGATATGGACGACGATGTCGAGAGAAGACGGCCGAACAAGATGAACATTGTGGACGTGGAGGCGGACGATTACCATGATGATGACGACGATGATGACGGGGATGTCGATAGCGATGATGAGTCGGAGGTTGAGAACATAGGAGTAGAAGACGTTCTGACGTCAGACACTCTTAGACGAAGGAATGTTAAAGGAGGCGACGCTGCTGCAGACGGATCGCGAATCGAAGGATGATTTGTCTTTTTGTATTGAATCTTAACCAACAAATGATGCCATGTTAAATTATTTTTATTGTACATAGTACGTGTATGTACAATATTTAATGTGTATATACCATGGGTTTGTATGGGGATAAGTCTTAATGACTTTGAGTCTATACTTTAATTTAATCTCTAGTTTTCGAAATGACTTTTAAACATACAAAGTAGGTATTGAAGAATATTGACACATCTGCAATGAAGATGGGCATGTGCTTGAGCCCTGGCTTGAATTTCTCCCCAGTGCAGACACAAGCCAGAAAGTAATGGCCCCCAAATTTTTTTTGTTTTTGTCTTAATTTAAATGTTCCAGCTTTGCTTTGAAAGTAGAGGGCACATTTCAAATTTCAATCTCATCAAGCGCAAACAAATCAGAGTTCAGATTCGTATAAGTGGGTGCTGGCTCCTATTTGCAAAAGTTTCAAGTCTTGAAAGTTTCTAGTAAAACCACTCTACTGGATTTTGCATGACCTTATTCACTGCTTTTGCAAGACCTTATTCACTCCTTTTGCAAGACCTTATTCACTCGTTGTGCACCAAGTGTAATGAAATTGCAGATGATTGCATCTATACCAACTCATTTGATTGTTCTGGGCCCTGTTTCATGAAACGTGTTAGCAGTAACAAGTTACAATACCTGTCATAAGCTATTGAAATCACGCCATTTGATTGGCTGAGTGTAAATTTGTTGTAGAATTTTAGCATTTGAGTTTGATAACAAGCTTGATGAAAACAGGGCCCTGGTGCTTCATAAGCTATCCCACCGCTGCCACCATGCAATCAAGGATACAAAACATCAGCTTAACCACTTGACTGCTATTGGCTTAAAATGCGTTCATACCCCCTGTGCTGTACAAAAACCTGACAAAAACTGTCCACTGTACACAAAAAAGCCGGATTCTTTTTGGAAGAGCGCCATCTACTGTTCAAGACCTGTATAACATCATTGCAGTGCTAATTAAACAGTAGGGCGTGGCATTATGCAGTGCTACGGTCTTGAAAGTGCAATGCCCTAAGCACGTACATACATGTACGTGGGTAGCAGTCAAGTGGTTAAAGGCTTGTTCAGATATGATGCAGAAAATCACCCGCTAATTAAAATGATATGTAAAGTGTATGTGCTTCACATCTTTGTATCTTATAACACAGACCGCAGTTTAACGTGCAAGTCCTTTGTTGCGTGCATTTGCCATTCATGTACACATAAACAAAACAACGCTGCTGATTTTCTTTGTTTGTGGTTTACTTGCGCCATATCTGAACAAGCCTTAAATAGACTTGAACTAGAAAATTAGGCTATTTGTGTGCATCCCTGCTCAGTTACGTGGCCGAGGTAATAATAGTGGAGTGCCAGGAGTGTCAAGTCTGACAGATATGAGTCTCTGCTATAGAAGACCCCACTATTATTAATATCATTAATATTTACTTCTTCCTTTCTTCAGGGGTCACATCCTGCCCAAGATTGTTGTACAGTACTGTACCCATAGACCACAAACGCAGTCATGAGTACATCACACTACCGGTAGATGTAGCTTTTTTTCTTTTTTCTTTTTGGTACTAGAAGCAGATACAGCTACATGGGTTTCCATTGAAGATATTTTATGCCAAATGTAGAAATTAATTTAAGTATAAACAACTTTTGATTTTAACAGTAACGGTTTGTTTTGATGATTATTCATTTACCAAATGGCACAGTAGATGTTGAATTTGTTTTCCTTAGTAAGAATCGTTGCACAAGTACTTTCAATATCAATAATCTTCCTGTTAATATATTAATCATTCATGATTATTTATCGATTTGTAATATATCATGTTAGATTTAAACGTTCATACATGTGTATTATAGATATTCATTCTTATTGTAAATAGTTTGTGTTATTTATGAATATTTAGTGATTGTGGTTTTTTTACTGGTGTGTTTGTGGAAATTGCCAAGTTTTTCTCCCTTTTATTTTGTTGTTGTCTTCTAGTGCTAGTTAGCTTTCAAGCTCTTAAACCGCTTGTTGGTGATTTCATTTTCCCAGGTATATATGGGCATTACCATGAGCATTATTATCAAATAGTACAATTTCCCCCCTTTCTTTTGCCAGACATACATGTATACAGGCGCGTACACAGGCGCGTACACAGGGGGGATGTTTGGGGTGTTAAAACCCCCCCCCCCCCCCCTTCGGTATTTTTATTTATGTAAACCCCCCCATCAGCCCATGTTTTTATTTATTTATAATGTAAAATCTGTTCCTTTAATTTGGTATATTTTGAAAAAACTCCCATTTTTGGGGACTGACATGCGAATAGTAGTGCTCTAAAAGCATAGACATTAATTTGTAATACATGTATGTACTAGCCAGAACCTGAATGATGCCGTTTATGATAATCATTAATATAACGTAGATATAGCTCCTTATACATACATGTAAAGTCTGAAATCGTATTCATTCCGTAATGTAAATCCGCAATTTTATGTGTTGATTTAAAGTGTTCATGTATTTAAAGAAACACATAGGCTGATATATTATCAGACAACCCTTTTACTATTATGTAAATGAAATATTTTACACTGAAAGCTTACAAACTGTAACTTAAATCTTCCCTCTGTATTCTGTATGAAAACAAGGATTTATTTTGGCATATCTGCAGTACCCATGTCAAATATCCTACTTTGTGCAAGTTTCATTTCAAGATAATTATGTGTGCAATATTCATAAAGTAAGTGTTAGAGGTTGTATACTTATATCTTAGAGTACTATCAGTCATTTCTGGACAGCTTTTATTTGTAGGGCTAAATTCATCACACTTATTTCTCTAAATTGCCAACAATGATTTGTTTTATTTTATCACTACATTGGCAAGATAAAATGTAACGACTCTGCAAATAATATGCATAGACAAGAATGTTGTCAACAAGTAGAACAAATTGCCAATTTTAATAGAAAAACAATAATTTTGAATATCTAGACATGTTTTCAACTTAAGGATTGTTGAGCCTATTTTCCTTTTGAAAACTTCTTGGCATAAAAAACAATATAGTCCAGAAAGCAGAAATGGTTGTGGTGTGTGCTGGAATGTTTTCCCTTTCCCCTCATGCATATGTTTAGGGTTCTGAATCAAATCTTACACTGAATGTTCAAGATTACAAATAAATAGGGACTTTTAGATTTGCACGTCGACAGCTTTGACTGCAACGTGTGACGTCATTTTAAGGCACTGCGCATGCGTTACGTCGTCTCAGTCGGCTATCGAGAATGCGTCAACCTTGATTTTCCTAAATCTAGTACATACATACATACATATTGGTATAGCGCCTTTACATGCTCAAGGTACCGCATGCCGCGTGCGCATAAAATATACATTGCCTCGGGTAGACAAAGGAACATCCCTTCCCTGCTATTATGTAAAAATGTGTAGAACAAGTGTCACATGCATATTCACCTGTTCTACACATTTTTACATAATAGCAGTGAATGGATGTTCTTTTGTTGAGGGTAGAATGAGGAACTGTATATTTTGTCCTCTTTCTTTGTCCGTGATGTTCATAATGTTACTTCCTGCATGCATGTATATCGTCGAGTGCAATCTAAAAGATTTCTAATTGTAGTCAACATGGGCAGTTAAGTACGTTGACACGCATGATCAGTCGGCGTTCGTCGTGTTCTTGTCCACTCAATCTAAAAGTCCCTAACGTCATTTGCCAAACCACAAAATGTGGAATGATTGTATTGACAGGGTTATATGCCTCTCATGTGTACCTGTATCCACAAAATGTTTCTTTTCAAGAAATCAGTACTACCCTTCCTACCCACTACAGTGCTATTGTAATCATGTACTACATACCTAGGAGATTAGTCCAAACTTGATAACATCATTTTATAGCTGTTGAATTCATTTACTGCATAAACTCATGGGAAGAATTGCTGCATTTGTCCAAAACTTGACAAAGAAATGTTAATTTATGGCTGATGTATGGCTGTCAAATGAAATTTTCTAACTTATTTATCTTCCTATTCCAATGGCTTACTATTCTGGTTAATTATGTTCACTCTATATTCCTGTTTATCCTTTTAAAGATCGGAAACATTTCACTTCTTCCGTCATTTTAGAGCAGCAAGTCATCAATTAACAGCTAGCAAACGGTGTACGATACGTACAGTGCATGCAGTATGGTGGTGTGACCATAATTCGCGTACTAACACTAAAAGCGCTTACAGAGGAGAGCAATACGCAGCGTATACAATTAAAGTGCGTTGCACTGTGTAGATAGTACTACTATCTACCAAGTGCAACGCACTTTCATTGAAGATAGTAGTACTATCTACACAGTGTAACAAACTTCTTTTCTCCCATCAATGATGGGCGATCTATCTTTCATCACATGATTTACTTTTGACCAATCGTAGAGCAAGATTCTTACTACCGATATGTGGAATATAATACATTTTATTGTTTGGTTTAGAATGTAAATGTTGGTGATGGAGTTTTCTCCTTTATTTTTCTTAGTCCCACACATTATCTCAGTGGAGGGTATTTGTATCAAAACGATATATAAACCATTTTGGGGTTGTCTTTTTGTTGATGTTGTTATTTATACACATTTGCTGTTCTATTTATTATGTGTTTTAACTTTGTCATTAATCTTTGTGTTTTCCTTTTGGACATTATTCACAATTATAGCAATATTATGTGTAAGTAGCATTTGTAAAGTATTATTTGTGCTTTACATAAAGTGGAATTGTGAAATGAACAAAGAATCTAAATGCAGTGCTGTGTGCTTGTATCATTGTATCGTTTCAAATGTAGTTAATTGAAGTCACCAAAGAGTGACGATTGATCTGAATGAATCACAATCAATTGCAAATGTCATTTTTTTTTTTTTTTTTTAAAGACAAAGTGGTAGAGAGAGAGAGAGAGAGGGGGAGGGGAGAGAGAAAGAGAGGGAGAGAGAAAGAAAGAGGGGAAAGATGGAGAGAAGAGACAGAAAAAGAGAGAGAGAGAGAAGGGGGCGGCGGAGAAAGCTATATAGATAGAGGGGTGTGGCATGAAGGAGAGAGAGAGAGAGAGTGGGACAGGGGAATAGAGAAAGATAGAGAGAAGTAGAGTGTTTGCACATAAAGTGTTATCTAATAGAACGACAGAATTGTATTTTTTGGCATTTGAAGGGGACGGTGCTCCCTCTTCAATGGACTTCTGTTAAGAGATGTCATTGGTGTTCTTTTGATAAAATTTTGGTTCTAGTCCAATCTGTGGGTTTATATGCCTTTAAATAAGAAGACACTAAAATGTATTTGCCACCATCGATCTGAGTGCTTTAACAGAATGTGATTTTGTTTAAAAGAGGAAGGCTACTCCGACATCAAGTTGTTTTTCAACAGAATCAGGTCAATAAAAGCTTGAGCAAATAATGATTAAAAATAAGAAAGTTATGAACATTTGAAGGCGCATTCAATCAAACATGAATTGGCAATTCTCTGACGCATCTTACGAGGTCTCCTCCCATTTTTTCCTGTACTAAAAACTTCAACAATTGAAGAAACTTCAGAAATGTTTCCATCGTACCTTCACCCTTAATATAATTATTGCACGTTTTTATACAACTCCTGTATGACACCAGTCTCTTCTGTCACTAATAACTAAGAAAAATGAAAGTCAATGAAATTATTTGATACAAAGCAAATTGGAGAGGAGCTCGCAAGATATTCACAGTGTTGCCCATTTGTTTTTTATTTATTGCAACTTCACTAAATCTTTACTTTACTATTTTTAATCAAATATTGCTCAAATTTTCACTGATCTACTTTTATAACCAAGATAATACCAAGGTGGACTTCCCCTTTTATAGATACTTTCGAGTTTCAAGCAACTTGGAAACATTCATCCAGAACACTCATAAACATTAAAAACAAGCAAGTGACACTCTTCTTTTTTCACAAATATTTGCACAAATATTTATTCACAGGAATTTCATGGAGATACAATGTATATAGATAAGAATGGGCACAAAGTACTAATATAGAATTGGGTTCACAATATATGATATATATCAAACAGAAGCCATATACAAAACTCACACTACAGATATATAAATATTCATAATCACGCTTTCTTGAAAAAAGACAAACAATAAGAACATGCTCATCACACAGTCGTAACTCGAAAGAGATCAGACAGATTTCTTTTTTCACACTGAATAATTCATAAAATACACACATACTATATGAGGAATGGTAATAGATTCCAAAGGGCAGTCAGATTTGAATATACAGTGAAATGTTTGCATGGATGATGGTTATGATAACAAGCGACTGAAGAAGCTCATCTGATCGGTGATGCAACTCGAAAATTAGTTCTTTCTTCACAATCAGAAGAAAAATTCCATTCTTCCTGCGTTCGAGCACTTTCTACTTTACTACATAAGAGGGGCTGTCTTGACGATTATACAGCCTTGGTTTTTTATGGCACATTTTGATTCCATTTGAAATTATTTGCATCTGCTCTGTTTTTCTGTTTATCAGATTGTTATCATGTAATAACTTGTGAGTGCATATGCCTATACTGGAATTGAATAAATTAAATGTTTTGGTTTGCGGTTCTTTAAAATTACAAAATAGCCGTCCAGAGACTAATTGCATAATTGTT